GTGACATAGATACTTTATTATGGTATAGTATTTAAATATATGCCTGAGAAACACATAATATTGCCCCTTTAAATGGACTGAGTTTTTTGTATTAAGAGTTCTCAGCTGTGGCGGCCATCTTTAATCACTCTTTTTGAAGGTTTTTAAGAGCTTCTCGTCACAATGAAACATCACAGCTCAGGAAGCATAATGTCTGAATTGTTTCACACTCTGATTTAAAAAAAGTATCAAAATTCATGTTTAAATTGTTCCAGAATAGTAAAATCTTCCAGTGAAACTTTTCAAATTGTCTGCTTTCGGAGAGTTTCTGCATCAGCGCAGCCCAGCTGGATCCCATTTCTTCTAACAAACAAACACATAAATAAAATGGCGATGTGACAGGAGATTAAACGTTGCTTCACATGAGTCACAACTGGAAGTTAGTCCAGAACATTTTCTTCAGTTCATGTGAACTTCCTGTCTGAGTTCATGAATTTGTGCAACAGTTGCAGAGTTGATTTAAAAAAAAAAAGGATGTACAGACAGTCAGGATTATATAATGTAGCTGTTTACTATAGGAACTGTGGCGTGTTCAGGAAAACCTCAACTTGAAGACGAGTTCAGCAGCTGTTGTGTCTGAAAACAGATGTGACGCTCCAACTTTCACTAACATCTGTCGGAGTTTGATGGAAGCACAGAAAAAAGACTGAATGTAACCATTTCTGTAGTTGTTACACAGGATTAAAAAGAAATATTTTAGGAGAAACTGTTACAAATAAGTTGTTACATCATTGTGTCGTAGAAAAGGTTAAAAATGTATCATCAAATGTGTTCACATCAGCGTCCCACTGATGTGTGTTGTGGTTTAAATTAAAATATCTAAATACAAAAAAAAAAAAAACTAGAGAATTTGCATTTCCTGTGAAAATGCAGAACATATCAACAAATAGCAACAAGAGAGTAGCTGAAATTAGAGAAAAGAAACAAAAAGCATGATTACTGAATTATCATAAAAAGGTGAATTTAGTTTGTTTGAGCCTGAAACATGAGGCAAATGCACCAAGTTAGAAAAAAATTAAGAATGTTGCATCATTTGTACATTTTTTTGTCAAATTATTATACATGAGAAATCAGAAAAAAGGTGAAAAAAACTTTAATTGAAAAAACTAACAAACGCAAAACAGAAAAAGGTGAATTTAGCTTAAAAAAGCAAAAATTAGCTAAAAAAGCAGCTAAAACACAGAAAACAGCTAAAAAC